TTAATATTGATTATCATTCATCATTCAATATCATCAATAATTATCAATACAGAATATACAAGTTTAAAAGTTGTGAGAATTCGTTCAAGATAAATTTGTTACCCCAATTTGTTTGTATGTATTACAAATATTGTTATGTGAAATATATTGCTTGAAATGGGATTTAATTCACCCCAGTTTTACTTGTTAAAAAGTTGACACTGCACAAAAAACAAAATCGCTGAAAAGGGGCACATATCATTGAGAAATTCATATCAACCATCAATATATTAACTAGGGGTGTGCATGAAGATCAAATACCCGCTAGGCTTGTCCAAGGTCAAAGAAAAATTGCTTAGCCCAATCCAAAAAAAAGAGTCCAAAAAAGAATGGGCATCTTTGGCTGCGTATTTCATAGGCGGGGCTGGGTATCGGGCTGGACATGCTATCCTGTCCATTTGGTGTTGCCCAGATTATATATATATATGTATTATAATTTATGAAATAATATTAATATATTACATTTATTCACCAAAAAAAAAGTTGTCTCCCTTATCTTTGCAATTTAATTTATTATTGTTACATGTCTATTAGTTTTCCATTTTAGGAGATCTAATTTTTCTAAAGAAGCAATAGTATCTTGCTTTTAATTTGTTCTTCGTGAGCTTTATTGGGTATTTCCTATTGTGTGTTGCTATTATAATGTTGGCTATTTATAAATCAGTCTTTCCTTCTATGTCATTAACAATTTTCTTTGTTAGAGAATGGAGTTCATATATTACATATTTGTATAAATCAACAATTTTGAATATTTATTCAAAATAGAAAGCAAGATTGGGATAAGAGTAGGGAAAGAAAATTTGGGTTTAATTATCTAAATTACATGTTTTATTTTTTATTTAATTTATATTTAGTTATTTTGTATTCATTTTTTATGAACAAGTCATATGATGGAAAGAAGTCTTTTAATTGTATGAATTGCTAACTACATTGTATTGCATAATAAGTGTTTACATATTAAAAGTGGTTATATTAAATTATTATAAGATTTTAAGATTTTTTATTTTTATTTTTACAATTATTTTCACCCTATTTTTATATGATCTATATTATTCTTGTTAGCCCATTGTTTCAGTTTTAATATCCTTTTGTAATCCTTTATGTAACATTTAATTTTTGCCACTTGAATGGATAATCAAACTTCTATTACATCGCCATCTTTGACCCTCAATGGAATATCTCAATGTGCTTCAGCCCCTCTTCAATTTTTTCAGATGTTTTATTCTTTTCTCAACTTTCTGGAGATTGATGCAAACCATTTGAATTTCAAGGCTTTAATTATAATCTTGAGTTGTTTTGTTCTAAATGGATTATGAATATTCTTTATTTGGATATTTGCTAAGACTTGTTTTAAATTATTTCTGGATAATTTCAATGTGTGAAAATGTAAAATTATGAAATATAATTTTCAGGTATGAACGAAAGTTTTTCTGCATGTGATATCGGCAGGCCATTACCATTTGGTCAGCAAAACCTGCCTTGCCCAGCCCATTCATGCTCAGTCCAAAATGGGTAGAGCTTCTATGGGTAGGGCTGAGGAGTGGGCTGCGAAATGCAGCCTGCTCATATTTCGGGCTGGACATCGAGCAGGGGTCCTGTGCTGCCCAATCCTGCCTATGTGCATCTCTAATATTAATATTGTCAATTAGTATTAATACGAAACATAGAGTTATGCTGTTCATGAGTGTAAAAACTACGATTTTATCTCAATTTTTTTTTTACAAATTTATAAGAAAAATTCTCCAGATGCATATGGAGAGAGCATATAAATGTATAAATTTGGGTTATTCAGCCATAAAAAATGTTAGATATGTATAAGCTATTTAAAGTTGAATGGATTGAATTAATAACCCATTTCATGTTTTTAAGTTTTAATCAATTCTTTTTTCTTAATTAATCTATTATGATTACATGAGAGCAGTTTGTTTTGTGCCTCCTAAACCAATAGGAGCTGAAATAAATTCAGCCAACAGAGACCCCAAAAAGTGAAAAGCAGTGTGTTATTACGTGTGTCGTATCTCGTTAGCCAGGAGGAGGAGGAGGAAAGAAAGAAGTGTCGTATATAATCTTTGTTTTAATTAACTTTCTGTTGTGTTTCAAAATTATGTTCATGTACTTCTTTTGAAAAGTTATGTAGATGTCGATAGTTCACCTTCTGTCAACTTATTTTATTAACAGTCTATCAAGTTAGGCATCTTCAGAAGTTTGGGTTTTTGGAAGTTAAACTAAATCTAAGATGGTCTAACACATTTTTTTATTCTTTCCAAGATATATTCTATAGATGAAAGTTTTTGGAAGTGATCTCCCTCGAAAAGATATACTTATTAGTTTTGATGCTTATTCACATGCTAAGAATATTCAGGTATTGTCTAGAGGAATTAGATATAAAAATTTCTTTAGTGTATATACTGAAATTCCTAATTTATTCGAAATCCAACAAGCACTATCAGGATATGAAAGCATTCGGGGTCATCTTTTGAAGTTTTGTACTGATAGTCATCAACAATTTTCTCATCCATTTTCATTATGAAAAAATCAAGAGTTTTTCATAAAATTTCCTTTCAAGAAGAATGAAGATATCAATTCCACAAAAGCTTCTCATCCAGTAATGAATCCAGAAGATCTCAAGCTCACCAAAGAAAAATGTTCTGCACTACTCAAACAAGGCCTTATTGAACCAACAAAATCTGATTGGGCTTGCCGGTCATTCTATATTGAAAAGAGATCAGAGATCAAAAGAGGAAAGAAAAGGTTAGTTATTGATTATAAACCTTCCAATATTTTTTTTCAAGATGACAAATTCCCTTTACCAAAGCCCAGTTCACTTACGGTCCATCTTAGAGATGCCAAGATCTTTTTCAAGTTTGATCTTAAAACGGGTTTTTGGCAATCGGGTATCCACCTAGAAGATCGGCTCAAAACTGCTTTTTGTATTTCAAATGCCCAATACCAATGGACTGTTATGCTACTTGGGCTCAAAGTTGCCCCATCACTGTTTCAAAAAGCCATGACCAGGATTTTTGAACCCTTGCTTGACAACCTTCTCGTTTATATCAATGACCCTTTACTTTTCTTAAAAGATGAAGATTCCCATAAACTTTTATTAACCCAATTCGGGAAAATAATTGAAAAATATGGGATTATATTGTCAGCAAAGAAAGGAGAGACAGGTGTCAGGAGCATAGAATTTCTCGGAATGAATTTTGAAAATGGTCAATATTATCCTAGACCACGTATTGCAGAAGAATTGCTCAAGTTTCCAGACGAGAATCTAACAGCAAAGCAAATTCAGCAATTTTTGGGAATTGTCAATTATCTTAGGGATTTTATCCCTCATGTGTCCAATCACGCTGGCCAGCTGTCCAAGCTTCTAAAAAAGAAAATCTTCCCGCATGGGGGATAGAGCAGACTTTAGTTGTCAAAACTCTTAAAAGAATTACACAGCATCCACCTCCTTTAAAGATCTATCCCCCATGGGGGTGGATTTTTTTTAAGAAGTTTGGACAGCTGGTTGGTGTGAGTGGACACATGAGGGATAAAATCTCTAAGTTAATTGACAATTCCCAAAAATTGCTGAATTTGTTTTGCTGTTATATTCTCGTCTGGAAAATAGAGTAATTCTTCTGCAATATGTGGTCCAGGATAATACTAACTATTTTTAAAATTCATTCTGAGAAATTCTATACTCCTGACACCTATCTCTCATTTATTTGCCGATAACATAATTTCATATTTTTCAATTATTTTTCCGAACTGGGTTAATAAAGTTTATGAGAATCTTCATCTTTTGAGAAAAGCAAAAAGTCATCGGCATAAATGAAAAGGTTGTCAAGCAAGGGTTCAAAAATTCTGGTCATGGCTTTTTGAAACAGTGATGGGGCAACTTTGAGTCCAAGTAGCATAACAGTCTATTGGTATTGGGCATTTGGAATACAAAAAGCAGTTTTGAGCGGATCTTCTGGGCCCGATTGCCAAAAACCCGCTTTAAGATCAAACTTGGAAAAGATCTTGGCATCTCTAAGATGGACCGTAAGTGAACTGGGTTTTGGTAAAAAGAATTTGTCATCTTGAAGAAAAATATTGAGAGGTTAATAATCAATAACTAACCTTTTCTTTTCCTTTTTGATCTCTGATCTCTTTTCAACATAGAATGCCTAGCAAACCCAATCAGATTTTGTTGGTTCAATAAGGCCTTATTTGAGTAGTGCAAAACATTTCTCTTTGACGAGCTTGAAATCTTCTAGATTCATTCTTAGACGAAAAACTTTTGTGAGATTGATATCTTCATTCTTCTTAAAAGTGAGTTCATTATGCCTTATTCTTAAAATAACAATAAACTAATTATTAGGAACATTTTAGCCGAACAAACAACAACCCCAATCCTCCTATTACCCCATCTTTTCTTATGTTACCGACATGCACAACGTTATGCCTGTTCCGTCACCACTCTAATCCATTTTCACAATTTTATGGTACCTCATTATTAATATAAAAATTTGATAACTAACATAAAAATACTTAAAAAATTAGTTATTTATAACAAATATATTAACCTCCTTAAAATATCATTTTACTAATTCTCCTTAATAGAAACCTTTTAATATGTATCATTAATAAGGATATTTTTCCCAAAAAAATTGAATTAAATTTTTATATTTAAAACCAAATCTAACCCTCCAACTAGCCTTTGCATTAAAAAACCTCTTATATTGAGGATATCTAACCCTGACTATATTACACATAACAAGATGATAGTTTTTTATATTCGAATTACTTCCTTTTCTTGCATTGCGGCACTTCTGTTTCTTTCATCGTATTCCGGCGCCTCAATCATATGATTAAATACACCCGTGTGGCACGGGGTCAGAAACTATTACTACATAGAGAAGCATCCATGAGGAACACCATAACATGATGCCTAAGCAAAGCCAACCGAAAGCGATTATGTTACAATAAAGACGACACAATCATTGACATGAAGCTTCAAAATTAGGGTCCCTTGTACCATAATCACCAGACAATTTTATGCATATCCGGCCATTCCAACTGTTGAGCTTACCCGGTTTGCTTTGTGAGAAGAGGGAGTGGTTGTGGCCTTGTTGAAGTACATGTAGTAGTATACGTTAAGAATCATGGTTGCAACAACAAAAACTGCTCCAGCTACGAACACACCTTTCCTCAGAGATTCACAGGAGAAGTTTTGAGCATAAATCATTCCCCGGTATTTTGTGTGATAGGCGTTCTTACTTGCACCGGCTATCAAGCATGCTTCGGCAACCAGGAAAGTCACCCTGCAAGTACATAAAACATAACAGTGGGACATCAAGAATCAGAACAGGGTTGTTGAAAGAATGGTATTATAGCTATGTTTGCACAACTGCATGGTATTTTCACTACCAAAATGGATGAGGAATGACGTACAAAGAAAATCAAGCAAATCTTTTAATGCTGGGGCAAAATGGGAATTACAATAATCATTTGTATCAGAATAACAAAGTGGTAGACATCATAATGAATTATTTCAACAGATCAAACCCACCAAACAGGCTTGTTTAACCCATAAAAATGGCAGGTCAATTTATATCTTGTCAGCCTGCATAATTCTGGGACCATGTTAGCAAGACCCATTTGATCCACAGCTTAGTGGACCAACCCACATAACTCATGGTTTTCCCTTTTCTATAACTAATCGTAATAATTTAAAGAGATGCTATTTCAACTTTAGCTAAGTAATCAATTTAGTTCATCTTCGTTTGAGTATTTAAAGTTTTGATTTTTCTATTGGAGAGAGCACTATGGAATTTGACACATACTTATTATCTCAATAAATGCCGTCTGCCTTTTACATTAAGAAATTCCTTTTGGTGACCTAGTGGGCCAGGATTGAGATTTTTGTCTATTTAGAACTGCAAATTGAAGATGCCATGGTTTTAGTCAGAATTCTTACCAAGATAACATAAAATATATAATGGACCATGCTCGATTTCCCCCCGGCGTTAGAGGCCTCCCAAAACACATGCACTTAGTCACTCCCATAAGCAGTGATTCACCTGAAAGAAGAAACAGGAAGGCACCCACACCATATCCAGTTGCAACATCAGAATTGTAGATGCAATATGTTTCGTTTGTTCTTTCATCTCTAAACATGGTTCCCTGTCAAGGAAGAGAAAGGAATAGTATAGAAGACTGAAACATAATAAAGCTTGTCAACAACACCTTTGATTTGAAGGATTAACATACACTAAGAGATGGCTCATTTCTGTTCCACAAACTACCCCTTCACCCCAATCTTAAACAAGTCAATCAAGAAAACTATGACCCCTGGCCTTTATAATTCCAATAAAGCATAAAAATCTTTACTGTATCTTGTAAATGTATTCTTCAATAGATATTTCTCTTATCTTCTATATCTTCCACTTCAAATGTTCTTCACAAAGCATTAGCCTATGAAGCATTGAAATAATCCATTAGCTGTTGTTAGCCTCAAATAACACCTTCCCAAAAGATAATAGCCCAGGATAATAAAACTAAGGACTGAAATCAAAATCTCATGCATCTCATCTTCTCTAAAATAATAATTTATAACACATTAGCTATACGAAGATTTGTAGTGCCAAAAGGGATCTATATTCCAGACTATTATCCCATTACAATAAGTTCAGCAGTAAAATGGGGAAGTTAATGAGACCACATTTTTCCAGCAACAATGTTAGATGTTCATAACAAATACAGACATAATAAAGAGGTAAACAGAATAAGGCAAAGGGAGAGCAGGAATAGGTCACTCTTTAGAAAGCAAACAGAAGAATTTAATGGTAAAACAAGGGGAGGAAAGACTGATCTTATCTATTCAATTTTCCCTAGGCACATGTATCTAGAAGCTATTTGTTCTATCCCCAAATCCTATGTACTGGGACGAATACAACCTTCCCATGTTTAGCAAGAAGATCAATTTATTTCATCAAAGAAGATCAGACATTACATATATCAAAGTTTTTTTCATCTTACATGAAACTTCCTATCGACAGAAAGTGCGAAATAAAGAACCATAACTATCCAATACAAAAAAAATGTCAACAACTAATGCAACATTGAATTTGACAGGGCAGCACTAACAACTTTAGTTGACTACAAAGCGCCGCTCAGTCATAATCTCCAGGCTTTCTAGTGATAAAACTTACAGAAATGAATTAAACTTACATACAATTATGAATCATTCTTACAAAGTTCAACACCAGAAAAGTTTGACCAAAAAAAAAAAAAATACAAGACAAGCAATTTTTCATATAACTCATAATCACTCATAATCACAATCTCCCAGCACTCTAGTGATAAAAGCCTTCGTAATCAGTAGTGGCCCTGCTCAACATTCTAAAAAGTCTACTATTTTAGGATCTCTGGAAGAATTGACATGCTTAGTAGTTTGCGCATATGGAATAGAACCCCACCGGAGCCACAGTGTTCGACGTTCTACATTCCTGAATCAAGCACCTTACGTAGCAGACTAAACTTAAAGAAATCTAAAAGAAAGCAGAGCTATTACTCAACAAGGAAAGATATGACGTTCAAAAGTAATTTATGCAACATTATTGCATTCAAAAAGTAATTTTTGCAGGGTTAAATGTCATGGTCTTTCCCAGCGCTTCCACTGATAGATGAAGAATTCCCTTTTGTTTCCTTGAGATAATTCACCGCTCAACACAGAAAAAGCAATCATCCACAGAAGCAGAAATTTGCAGAAACACAAGTAGAAGACAACGCACAATCGTCTCCTCTTCTCAGCAATTAGCAGGCAAGGAACCCTTTCATTCGAGACACATAAATTATCGCTTAACACATAAACCTTAGCAAAAAGCTAAAACTATTCCAAGAAATCACAATCGAACATATAGATCTCTGGCTACGAACTTAAAACCCCTGATATTCCGAACAATGTACAAAAAGTAAAAGTAAAAATAGCAGCTTTTCAAGTAAGAGTCCAGATATGATCACGGAAAAATGTGACAATTAGATTTCAAAAGTTGAGAACCGCAAGAGATGGGTAAAAAGGGTAAAAGAAGCTCACGACGCTTCTCCTTCTCTCAGCAGCAATGGCAAAGCCGAAGGCGACCAAGCTTAAAACCACCACCAAAATGTGCACAAGAGTGGAGCCTCGTCCTTCTACCATTGTTTGCCTTTCAGAGAGGAACTGCAATGTGGGTTTCAGAGACTCTCTGTGCCAGCGAAGAGGAAGAAAGGAGGAGCCCTAGCTGAAGCAGATTAGCAGATTAAGTGCCGAGTGAAGAGACAGTAGTACAAAAGGTGTGAACAAAGTGACTACTTTGTTCGAGGTTCAAGCAAGAAAGAAACGCCTTTGCGAATTTGACAATAAAGCGCATAGAACTTACTGGAAAATTGACATTTTAGGACCCCCAAGATTTAATAATGCAAATTTGACCTGACTGAATAAATGAATAATACAACTTGAATGTTTTTTGACGGGGGAAAAAAGGCAATACAGCATAAATTTTGCTTATTAAAGAAAAGTTAAATTATTTATGAATTTTTTTGACCTGAAAACATTCAAGTGGTAAATTGAGATAAAATTTTCTGACATGTATTAATAAATATGAGAAACAAAAAATATATAGTGTAAACTTTTGACTCGCTGCTTTCCCAATATTGGTAGAAATTTTTTATACATAAGGTCTTCATTTTTAAATTTTGGGAATTATGAGTTGTTGGGCTTTTTTATAACTTTTAAAAATCACTTATTAGTATGTTTTACGTAAATTGAGATAAAATTTTTTTCACATATTTATCTTGTATTTCATAAATTATAATTAAAAAATTACTTATAAATTATTCTAAATAAACCTTTTATGTGCTGTCTTGGTCAAGCTTACACTTGAGGATCTATGTTAAAGATATTTATGTTAAATATTTTCACATTTTAAATAGTACTAATAAATTCTATCCATTGTTGCGTAATGTTAATATTTAGTCAGATTTTTAAAGACGCGGTAGCATAAATAAATTTTTATTTCGGATCATCAAAACTTAAAAGTATGTTTTCCATCGGATTTTTTTAGAAGTATTAGAATAGAGGAGTGGGAGATAATCCTGGTTATTTGGCATCTCTTTAAAAAATCACTTGTATATTTTACGAAACGAAACTTTTCACTTATTTTAAGTCAAAGGTTAATTAATATCTATGTGATAAAAAGTATTTTAATTTGAATTAAAAAATTCACGCTTAAAAAAAATAAAAAATTGTGAAAAATAGTAAAAAAGAATGATATTCTAAAAGAAAGCACGCATGACAACCAATAAACATATGTTGAGTCTACAAAAACTAAGTTAAGTATCTTATGGACTTATGCATGTTATATTTTATATTAATTAATTATATTATAAATATAATTGTAAATTATTTTTCCATGACTAAGCAAACTAATACAAATTAGTTTTATACATTATTTATAACTTATGGATGATATAATTCATTAAAGTTTTCATTCTAAAATGTATTTAATCAAAATTAGTTCCCAATTTGTTGACCCCTTTTTATGTTAATTTTACAGTTTTTCTGATAAAAGTTTAACAATTTTGCAAATTTCTCCAACATATTTATGAACTGGGGACAGTCAACTGTTTTCTCTCGCGGCTGCTGCTGTTTATAACTGTTTCTAGACACGCGAGTGTCGCCAATAATGTTATGTGTCATGCACGCGCCAGTCTTAGAGAAGGAGTCTGGCCATTGCAGAATGACATCGCTTCCACAGTGTTTCTTGTGAGCCCCGCAATTTGATCTCAACAAGATAAATAAAACGACAAGCTTTGGTGGATCATTGGAGGGAACTCATGAAAACAAAGATCGCCCGCATTTTAAATTGGACGGTGCATATTATATAATTTACGACCCCGACATGTGATCATCGCCAGATTTTGAAGGGCTGAAGCGCTCTTCTTTGTCATACTCTTTTTTTTTTTTTTTTTCAAGTTTACGAAATTGACATTTATTCTTTGATTAAGAAACGGAACCCGTGTTACGCAGAACACGGATTCTCTTGAAGTATTATACTCCCTCCGTTCTTTATTATAAGAGATATTTGATATTTAGGGCATGTTCGTATGTATAAGAGGTACTTAAAAGTTGTTTTCTATTTTACCCATATTTATTGTCTCTAACTCATACTCTCTCTCCTTTCCACTTCTTTTTCTTTTAATAAATTACCATTGTTCTCTCTCATGTTCTCTCTCTTTATTAATGAGGGTATTTTTTGAAAAAAAATTATACTTTTTACATATTGATTGTTCTTAACTAATTTTAACTGTTTTTTTTATCAACATAATTCGGTTATTCGTCTCTTATAATAAAGAACGGAGGGAGTAATATCGATATTTAATTCAGGTATTGCTAATTAAAGCAAATGCAATAAAGAATAAAGAAAAAGGTCTTTTTCTACACGTAGTGCCACTGTGCGAGATTTTATGATGTTTGGAATTTTTAAAATGACATCAATCTTTGGTAGGATTTGTAAAGGAAAAATTAATTTTTTGGCTTCTATAATTTTAAATCTGTTGTCACTCAATCTCTAAATTTTAATTCGGTATAACCTAGTTTCTATAATTTTTACTTGACATCTGAACATGTTTCACTGCAATTCAGTTCTTCTAATTTTTTTTTGGTTGCGTCGTGCACTCGGTATCCTGAGCCAAAGTCCACGGACCTAGACTGATCTGGATTAGAGCCAGGGCGGGATCCTTTGGGGTGGGAGGTCTACCACCTACATTATTAGATTCCTAAATCTCAAATTCAAACCCCTTGATTAGGCTGGATTAAAGGATTAATATTTTCTTTCGTAAATAATAAATATAAAGAGGTGAGTGTTCGCGCATAAAGTGAGAGAGTCTGCCTGCGTTAACAAAAATTATATAAGCGTTGAAATTTCAGTAAAGAAGGCAAGGAAAGATAAAGCAAACTAATTTTGATACTATGCTCGTTATAAAAACCACAGGAAGGGAAATGAAATGTCAGATATAATTTTGGTACATTATTTCACTATTAAATTTGGTTTTAATTAAAAAAAAAAGTAATTTGACTGTTGAGCGGTGTTGTTTATAAATTATGGAGTGTTTGAATTGAATCAAAACCATGATTTTAAAAATATTTTTACGATATATATAGTAAATATACAAAGTAGTTTATCTTAATTTACAGAAAAATATTTTTAAAAAATACTTTTCATACTTGCCATAACCAATGAAAGGGACTTATTGATTATTGGCCGGCAGGGAATATGTATATTGTATTGGAATATCACATAAAGAGTATTTTTTCACAAAACGAGACAAACTCCTTCACATATTTATTTCGTAAACTGTAAAAACACTTTTGAAAATTGAAATCATAGTTTGGTCTCTATCCAAACATCCCTTTAATCACATTTGACTCGATGCCGCCTTGATATTACTGGAATCTGGCTTTTATTTTGGGTCGGTTTAATTCTGAACTTGTCTCAATTTACTTTTGACTTCTTATCATTATTCAAAATTTCAATTTTCAATGTCAAATGGGGCAGTAAGACTAATCATAGTTTTATCACAAAGGTTCTACACTAAATTTCCGGTATTTCAACAAGTCATGCCGGGGTTGATCATTAACTTATGTTTTTGTTAGGTGATTATTTTAGCTTCCAAAATTTTAGACATTTATTTATGTATAAAATATTCAAACATTACCACATTTGTCCACCCCAAACCATAATTAGGAATTGCTTGACTGAGAAAGCGGCGCGAGCGAGATTCGTTGAAACTATAAATCTAGTGAGAAGGTAGAGTTTCTTTCTTTATCTTATCGTTTCACTCCTCTATTGTTTGACTTGTTTCTATTGTTTGATGTCCAATAATATTTAAATTTAAATTAGTAATACACATAGCATTAAATTTCAAAAGGCCTAGAAAAGATTACCATTTATTCTACCGCCACTTGTTTGTAAATATTTTGCTAGCGGTACGCGATCACAAAGATGCTAAACGCCGAGCTTTCCAAAGTATGGATATATTTTTATAGTTGTGATGGGATATAAAAAGAAGTAATTATGATTTTATTATATTTTTAGAACAGTTAAATTATTTAGGATATTTAGATTTTTAGGAATTATTAAGATTTTTCAGCATTTTGTTATTTTATTATTAGGATTAGTTGTTGTTATTATTATTTTTATTATTATTATTTTAGTATAATTAACTTTAAGCTTCTTATTAGATGACAGATTTGATTATTGAATGATATTGCAATTATCATTTTCTCTCAGCTTGTTCTTCTTCTCCGTTCTCTATTTCTCCTCCTCTGCTCTTTCTGATCTCTTCTCTTTCTCTTCCCGTTTTACATCAAGTTGTTGAGAATAAAAAAAATAAAGTATATATATGTTGGGTTATATCTTTTATTTTTTATTTTTTTGTTACGTATAAGTATATTTTTATTGAGGGTAATATGTTCAAGACATTATTAAGTGTTAAACGTAAGTACTCTTTCTAACAGAAATTTAAATCTTAATTTATCATATGGTGAGGGACAAGTCATTTTCGCTAAATCCAATCCTATTGGCATAATTTCATAGTTATTCAGAATTAAAAAAATAAAGTATATATCTTGGGTCATACTTGGTGGTTTAGGGCTCAGGTCACTGCAAATGAAACTGCCATGTGAACAAGGAAAAAAACATGGGTCCAAATTAAAAGTTTTACCTGATTTGAAATTTACTTATCTATTCCTATTTATAAACCACTTCTAGTATATTTTGTAACAACCAAGAAAAATCTTAAACTGTATTAACTCTCTATTAAAATATAATAACTTTTCAATTTTATCTTTATTTAATATATGCACTTTTTTAAAAAAATAATTATTTACATTATAATAAATGAAGGATAAACTAGTACATTCACGCTAAAATTTTAATAAAATGATTTATAAATAATACAAAAAATACTTTCTTTTCTTAATTCTATAAATAGGACCAGAGGAGTAAATTAGAGTAACCACTCACAAATGAAAACTCAATAACACAATTAAGGGAGTTAGTTTTGGGAATACACCGTAAAAAGTAATTCCCATGTAACTTTACTAGCTTTCTCTTTCCTTTGGTGTATTTGCTGTACAATTCCTATGTAACTTCACTACGCTTCTCTTCCTTCTGGTGTATTTGCTGTACAATCATGTAGGGTCCGTATAGTGATTCTACATAGCGCCCAAAATCCTTCCATATAAGTATTTAATAAGTTTGATCAACTATAA